ATTTCAGATTCATATTAAAAAGATTACAAACTGATCGTGGAATTCTGCTTTAGAGGAAAAAGGATCCTTGAAAACTTTTCCTATAAAATCTGACATCCTTAGCAAATCACAAATTGAAAATACTGAGCATGCACCTTAATTCCAAATTTCATTCTTTTCCACTTGAACTCTACCTCTTGTGAAACCTACTGTAGATGAGAAGATTGTATTTACCCCTTCTTATCTGATCCATCCAGAAACTGATGCTCCACACTGATAACGTTCGTCTGAGGCCCAAGTTGTCCTCCACTTTAATGTGACTTTACCATCTTATGGTTACAAAACCCTGCTATGCTTAAACTGTACTATTTTGATAGTATAGTAATATAGAGAAGTTGTACATATTGTTACATTCCTTGAAGAAGAAGAAAAAAATATAATTATTGTTAAATATGTTTTATGAAGGGGGTACTTTCGGAGTTCCATTTATTTTCTATAACAAGAACCCTCTTTTATAGACTGTCAGGGATATATATTAAAAATGTTAGGGATATTTAATTTATTAAAATAATTTGAAAAGTACATATTTTTATGCAGTAAAATTTTAAATTGATATAGTTTTTTTATGAATTCTCTAGTTTAAGTTATCTTTCTACATTTTTCTTTGGAGATGCAAACATAAATTAATACCATATTTCAAATTTACTGCCATGTTTAAAAAAAACTAAATTAAGTTTCTAAATTACATAGTTTTGTACACAGAATCTGAATGATGTGCAGAGGCATAAACAGAGCCTCTGAAGAACATTATTCTTTGGGGCTATGAAATTCCACTATGTACAGTTTGTAGCCACATAAAAAGCATGTTAAAATGTCTTGTTTTATATTATGTACTAAATCGGCAGTGATTTTAGATCGAATCCATTGCATTTTAGAAGAATTTTTTTTTTTATTCCAAACAGTTATTTCTAAAAATCTTTGTAAACATTTCCTAGCCTGAACAAATTCATTTTCTGTCCTGAAAAAAATAATTCTCCAGCTTTGTTTTGGAGTGATAGAGGTTACTTTACATCAAAAGAACAAATAATACATAGATACATTTGATCTATGGAGGTCTCCTTTTAAAAAGTTCTGTTAATATAGTGTTCATTTTGGATACATTACAGTTTATTTTTATTTTCTTCCGTTGTTCAAAAACAACGTTTTAGTTTTGACTTCTTTATTGATGAGTGTAGTAACTCACATGAACTTTTTACTAGGAACTAAATTTGGCCTCAAGTTAGTACCCTGCCTTTTCGTTTCAAGGGAAACAACAGTGATCTTAAATGAATCATAAACTCAGTCAGGAACAAAACATGGTTTGGATTACATCCAGGGGGGAATTGTTGCAGTACTAATGCTGCTGGTGCTGCTCCTAATAGTCTTTCTGCTTAGGTGCTTATATGTAAGGCACAGGCATGGGAAGATTTCAGTTAGTCAGAAATGATCAGGAAAAAGAGAGGCGAGAATTCCTCCCTTTAATAGGAAAGAAGTGCCTGACTGACACTGGAGGGAGGCATCTACCTTGGCCTGGGGATTCTCAGCTGGGCTATGAACAAGCCTCCTGGAACCGACATCTCGAAAGCTGGAGAGTTTTCCCTGTGGGGAAAAAACCCCACTCTGCTATTCCCAACATAGAATCATAGAATTGTTTAAGTTGGAAAAGACCTTTAAGATCTTTGTGGTCAGGGTACAGATGCACAAAACCTGTTGCAGGGTCCCTGATCTAGAGTGGGGATCTTGAATTTATACCTCCAGCATTATTTGGCTAATAGATCTGGCCTCTCTTTTATGACACGTTTATAAGGAGCAGGAGCCTAAACCTGACTCTTCAGCACTGCAAACCATCACCACTGGGGTATAGAGTCAATCTGTCTTTTCTTCTGCCTTGTTGGAAAGTGGTGTCATAGCTTTGACAGTTTAGCAATATTCAAGTTGAAGAGCTTAACTGTTTCTACAGACTGTTGTCATTTTGGTTTAGCTGTGTTGTCTGGGGACACAGGGAAGACAAGATTTGTACACAGAGGCAAGACCTTCTGTTTAGACTGACTGGTGTAAGTTCAAGTTAGAAAGCTACCAGGCAGGCCTTGTTTACTTTTTCTGATCACATCAGGTGGTCTAAATAAAATGTTACTTGGAAAGCTCGCATTGCCCATGGAGACTGTGGGCATAAGCTAAGTACTGGCCACATAAATGGAGTTTATTCTTGGATTTTGGAACCTGGGTGACTAGGCTCTGATCCCGGGTGACTCTAGCCTGTTGTGGTGCTACAGCCCCGTTTGTCACCTGTATAATGCCGTGCCATCAAATTATTGACATGCAATGGCTTTTTATCACACATTACCTAGCAAAGGTCTGAGAAAGTATTGAGGCGTTCTTCTCATCTGTGTTGGTGGATGAATGATGCAAGTTATTTACACTAGACTTATTTATTACAATTCAGACTGCAGAAATATGTTAGATATTGAAGTTTCTTAATATAATTAGTTTTGCTGACAGTGACCTTTTCCATTTTTCCATAATTTCAGAAGGTTACTGGTACCACTTGTTGGAGAAATCTGTGTGCTTATTCTAAAAGCATTACTATTCCTGAGGTTTCACAGTAGTTAAGATGATTCATTGCTAATATACTTAAATACATGGATCCCTACCACACTGATTGCAGAACTCCGGTTAACAGTAGTTTTCAAAAATGTTGAGAAGAGATTTATCCAAGACAACATATTACTGCTTGGTAAAATGGGGATGGTTTCCTAAAGACTAGTGTATCTTTACTATATCATACTACCAGGAGTTGAAAACTTGGGCTGCTTTAATAGTTCCAATGTTCCTGAGTTTATATGCTCTCTAAATAAAAGTGCCACATTAAGACAAATTACATTTCATGGATTCAGGTAAATTCAGAGATGGTGTAATCAGGTAGTTCTGCAAATTTGTTTGGAAATTTTGCTGAAAAATATAAAAAGCAAGGAGGATATTTTCTATCTAGTTATTTCCGCAGACAGCTATTTTGGGCTTTCTACCTTTCAAATTCCAATCCCCAAGTCAGGCTAAAGTGGTGAAGTAAGTGCTTAGGCAGTTTGGCTCACCAGCCTTTAGCTCAGGCACTGTTTGTGATGGATATACTCCAGAGGGGGCCGGTGTCTCTTGCAGATGTCCGTCCTAAGTGACAGCATTGCCATAAGAGATCTTAAACAGTATCTTAAACCTGTTAAATTATTTGGGGGAGTTTTTCCCTACATGTATTTAATTTCAGGTTATTTTTGTTGTTGCCTTAAAAATCCCCTCTAGGCCTCTGAATCTTAGCTATACAGTAATGGAAAGTGTTTCAAAATAAATTGCATTATCCTATGATCCTGCTAGCTCCTTCTGATGCTGTTAAAGCTTCAGAAAACTGAACTTTTGTGAAACCAAAGGCATTGCCAGAAACCTTCATTATCCGGGCAGATTATTCTTAACTTCTTGTACTGGATGCCAGACAGACTCGCCAATACGAGCTCTGGCTTTTGTGAGCTGATTAGGATTGCTTGGGACCAAGGAAATACAAGGCTTGCAGTATAATGTTGCTTTGCTCTTTCAGTGGGTAGTCCTAATGAAAACTTTGTAAATAATGTGAACAGGATGTGATCCCAAAGTAGCACTTTTTATTTTCTTAATGAGTGTTTCTAAAGCACTGTAGAAGGCTTTGAGCTTTTGCAGGCATCTCAAACAGGTATTTGCATTGATGGAAAAAAATTTCTGTAGATATATTTGTTTTTTCTCTACTCAAAGATGGCTTAGAAAAATTCAAAGATAAACATATGATTCATGGACCAAGAAAAGACTGGACTCTTCTGTCTTGCTGCTACTACAGCTAGACACTGTTTCAAAAGCAGTTTTTAAATACCTTGAGTCAGTTTAGGCAAAGCAATTTGTACTTTGCCCCTGTGATACACAATTCCTTGAATGGGCTGGAGTGTGATTAGTCTTTGGAAAAACTGAACAACTGTGTAACAGTTTCCTTTTGTTTTTTTTGAAATATATTTTAATTTCACTCATCTCTGTATTTTGTTGGAAATACTTGCTCCACATGAAGTATTGTAGTAATTTGTAGTTTGCCTCCAACTTTGAAAGTACTGTTTTAGTCTTGTGGGGAAAAAGAAGAATGAAATCTTTTCAAACCTTGCTCTCCTGAAATACATTAACCCAAGGTTCTATATTTGTTCTTACTAGAAAGGATGTATTCTGAAAAGTAACTGTAGTTAGAAAGGGTTAAAAAAAAAACCCTTGTATTTTTAAATCATCTTTACAATCACCAGCATAATGCTGAAACATTAAACAACTGGTGTTTTCAGGCTAACATTGATTGCTGACTTAAAACACACACCCTATGGAGACCTGGTGAATTGGTCCTTGAGAGTGTCACTTTTCTGACCCGAGGGGTCTCTGAAGGGTTTTGCTAATTTCTGCTGTAAACAATGAGCTGCCAGAAGTTAAAGTAGCTTAATTTTGAGAATGATGAAGCCTTCTTTAAAGAGGGTGAACTTTGATATCTCTAAAGGGAAGGTACACAGGCCCCGAGTCCTTCAATGGTATCTAAAGGGCACTAAATATGAATTTTTACTCTTGAACTGAAGTGGGTGATCACTGGTGCTAGGATTCCTGTTAGGAAAAAGGTGTACAGTTAGGCTGCAGCTGCCTGCAGGACGGGAGTTTGTGCTGTTTGCCAGGGAGGGAGCAGGTCCTGACTGGAATCCTTCGCCTTCCGTGGATCAGCAGTTCAGTGCTTTCCTTGTTAAAAGGAGAACTTTGCTCAGCATTGCTGAGAGGGAAACACACTTCTCTTCAAGCCTTAACAGTGGCTGAGACACACAGTACTGTAAGATGCACTGCCAGCATATTTGGTATTTTGAGATAAAATATAGTTTTTCCTTAGAGATCAAATTCTAGTATTGAAATATAAAGTCTTACTGTAACCAGTTTACTCTTGTGTTGTTTTGGAAACTGAATCCTAGTGAACACCATGTTGGAAAGCTGTCATCTTCACTCTCCATAAGGTATTGTTTGTGATGGTCAGTTTATACTCCTGCCTTGTGGACTTTACAGCTGCAGGCATTGCCACGAGCCCACCCTTGTAGCCAAACTAATTTGTACTTTTTTTCCATGTTCATTGACCTGCCAATCAAAATGGTGGATGTAATAATACCCACTGGACTGCTAGAGATTGGGTTTAAAAACTTGCTGCTATTTCTGGAAACCTGATATGGGTCATGTTAATTGTGCCTTTCATCACTGTTTCTTCTGTGTGCCAGAGCTGTCCATGTATATTTGAAGTAGTCACTAAAATAAATCTGTTCTCAAGTTCTTTCATGCAAGGAGAGGACAGATCTCTATCTAGAGACAGTTGTTGCTTTACCATCGCAACACTCTTAAGATCTATACTTTCACACAGTCCCAAGGCAAGGTATTCCAATACTGCTCTTCAATAAAACTGCTTTTTGGTGTCACTTAAACCCCTTATAATGTAGAGCTTATACCAGTATGTGCAAAATACCTGCAGTAAGAGTTATGCTACATAGACTTGTTGCAGTTAAATTTAAGCTACAGAGATGTACAAGTAACTTGTTTTTAGGAATGTACTGAGAAAGTATTTGAACAAAATTGCTAACATGTTTACTGTTGTAAATATTTTAATAAAAAAGGACACTTCAAACTTTTTTACACAATTATCTACAATAAAGAGAAATTTACAACCATTTACAAAATGTTCTAAATTTTTTTTTACTGTCAAAAACGGCTAACGTAAAAAGAAAATAAACATTAGATACATGAAGTCCTGGGTTTATTTCACTCTGTATTTATAGAAGGAGCAAAGCATCTTGGTGAAGTTCCATCCACATGCTAGTGAGATCAAATAGAGCATGATGAGAAGTGCAAAGGGATACAAAAGAATAGCTGTGTTCTTCAAAAAGGGCAATGCTGAAACAGAAGCAACAATGAAGCAAGTATAAAGAAGTGCTCTTTAAAAAAGGTGCTTCATGTGGAGTGGCCTTGGGGCAAGACAGCAAGAAAAAATAGTTCTGCTCTACTGTCGTCCTCGGGCATCTCTGCCCTACTAGTCCTACTGTTACTACATAATGCTTTTTGAAACTGCTTTACCAAAAACTGTGGCCTTAGACTCATTAAAGAATTTTTATCTAATGCAAACATCTTGAAGTGGATTTACAGAGGAACAAGGAAACGAAGTTGTGGTTCTACAGGTCTAATAAAAGAAGGGAAGTTGGTAAAGTGGAGAATACAAATTCTCTGGTTAAGATGTACACTCAGCTGAAAATCCAGATGGGTAAATTTCTATCAAACTTCTTTTACCACAAAGAAAGAATTACTTCAACACCCAGCTGAGCCTCTGCTTTACAAATTAATAGACTAAGATCAAATTAATAGACTGAAAACATGCTCTTGTTTTTAGTCAAATGAATACAAAAGAAATTGATGTCACTCACCACTGTATCCTAGGAATGTCACATAGATATAATAGCCGATGGCAATCAACCATAATGTATTCCCAACAAAATACCCAATGACAGAGTCAGATATGATGACATCTGCAAGAGATAACTGCTCTCAGCTGTTTTGATAGCACACCATTTTGAAGCAGAGAGCTCAAAGTATTCTACTTACAGTTGATGAAGAACAGCTGGATAAAATGCAAAATTACTAGAAGTGGGTAGAAAGCATTCAGATGCACATCAAAGGCATACCCCCACTCCACATCATAGTCTCTGTTCTGCTGCTTCACCAAATACTTATTAGAAATGAACCTACATAAAAAGATATTTGAGACTATTGTTAATGTGAATCTATAAAGTTGACAATCAAAACAGGTTTGACATAGTAAGTCATATGCAATTCCAATTCTCCACCCAAAAGTGTCTGCTATCTGGGAGAAAAAACATGCAAGAATCATGCAGACCAGACCATTGTTAAAATGTTTTTGTTAAAACTATGATTACATCCCCCTGCATGCGACAGTGTGGTGGGGGGAAACAGTTTTCCCCCCTGCAGTTATAAAATGGTAACCACCCAGGGGGTGGTGACCCTTGAAGTTCTGAGGTTTTACCCAATGAGTGCTTCTGCAAAATATAAACATATCACAAGCAGAACGGAAGAGAAGGTAGTTGTAGTTTTGGGGTGGAAGAAGTAGCCATGTTGTAAAGCCACGAGGAGAAGCAGCAGCAGCCCCACTGGGGGCTGGGCCCCCCAGCCCAAGCTGGGGGGGCTGCAGGGACTTGGAGCAGTGTTAAACTGAGCTAAGTGCCTGTAGCTAGGAAGCTGAAGGAGTTTTCTCCACCGTGAGTGGGCAGACGGAGCAGCGGCAGAGGCAGCAGCGGACAGAGGACAGTGGCAAAGAGCCAACAGATAAGAACTGAAGAAGCAGCAAACAGCATGCAGCTGCAGCCAAGGCAGACACAGAGTTGTCTGAGAGAGCCGAGAGAGAGCTAAGAACTGGATTTTGGGGTTCTCAAACCACGACAGACAGCCAGCTGGAACACTGCCGGTAATACAGAAACAAAATGCTTCTTTAAAGAAACCAGCGCTACAATCTTATCAATGCAGCCACAAGCTGCGACTTCTCTCTGTACACACAGGGAGGAAACTTCAGTAAAGTGCCCATACAGGATCAGCACACATCACACGAGATGGCTTATTTCATCTCTACAGAACTGGTGCACTGCAAAGACAGGAGGAGAGCTGGATAGTGCTCATAACATGAGTCTATTCTTACTGAAAAGAAAAGCAAATGGAATGTGCACTGCTTGGTGTTAGAGGCTACAGAATAAGCCTTAGGACTGTGCTTCAGCTTAAGTTCTGCTGACATAACAAAATTTATCACATTTAGAAGAGGAACAAGAAGTCAATACATGCTCAGAAATGAGTTAAGGGACCAGAGTTTTCATGAAAGCTTCCTCTGACATACTCTTTGTGCCAAGGGTGGGGTCAGAAGGAGGCAGAGCCTGGGGGTGAGGTGAGATGAGGCAAGGCAAGAAGGGGTTTAGACTCTTTAAGAATGGGGGGAGTTTTTGGAAAAAAGGGTGAGCCTGCACTGGAAGAAGGGACTTGAACCGAACTGGAGCCAGATGACTAGTACTGAGGCCTGCAGGAAGCCAATTAAAAGATAGAGGAAAATCAGCAGATGCTGAAGCCTTCCCAGTTCAGAAGACTGCACCCTGAGGCACAAATTGCTAGAGAATGGCAGGCTAGGAGCAGAGAGCTTTACTATAAGCTCTTCTCCAAGCAATTTATGGGTTGCTGTCCCAGACACAAGCATAGGTCAGATGGACTTTTCATCTGTCAGCTACAGTTCTTGTACGTGCCTCTTCCTGAAGTTTGCAGGAGTTCCTGAGGCCACTGTTTGAAAGGAATTTATCCCTTTTCCAATCAGCATCAGTTTAAGATGTCAGCTGCATCACTAAGAACTCTTCTAAATGCTACTTTCTTAAGTTCTTGGTAAAATAAAAATACTTTCTTTGGTGCCCTCCCTTTGCCACAGCACAGAAACAGCAGCTTCCCATTGTTTCATGGCTCCCTCATTGCTGCAGGACACATCCACAGTGCTGAGGCCTGGATTGTAAGCTGACCTGCTCCTGCCTCTCCACTTCTGCAAGTCCCTGGACACTAGAGGATAAAACCAGCAGTGAATAGCACCAAAGCAGCGAAGCTGCCACATGTGAGACAGAACGGATGTGGCTTGTCGTGGCACTTGCTAAAATCTTCAGCAAGGAGCGTGGGCTTAAAGAGAATCATCCTCAGTCTTACATTGCTTATTTTTTTCATTCGTTATTCTGATTGAACAGTTTGGGTTTTTTTGAACACATTTTTTATTTGGCATTACTGCTGACTATTAACCATCTCAAAAGAAAGAAAAGAAGCTGGAATGTTTACCGTAATACACACTTCCTGATTTTTTTTTAATCTTTTGCAAGAAATAGTGAAGAAAAAGATGTGTTCTTTTTTATTGCAACATTTTGAAACAATTACTACAACAGCACAAAACTTATAGGCAATACTTGCTTAATAAGTTTACCCTAAACAAAGAACCAAGTGTCTTGCAAACAGCAGAGGACTCTCCACGTCTGAACAGCAACACTGAACTCAGTTTCAGAAGTCACTACTTACCACATCAGAGTTGCAATCAGGAGGCCAACGCCAACGCAGTCTATGAATACAACCCAAAGTAGCAGCTTTATTGTTTCAAAAAACCCCATGTCCAGCACAAATCCAAATCCTACAGTAGACACTGAAAGCAGAAAAAGATTATTAAAGTCAGCTGTAGAAAAGAAAGCATGAGATCTTAAACTGAATATACTGTTATGAAAACTCCACTTTCCTTTTTATTTTTTCCCCCCAAGATTTTTAGTCCAACAGCTCATTTTTTTCCACCAAAATCTAGATATAATGTAATTTATTCAAAATATAATCCCTCTCACAGATTGAACACTCGTCTGTACTTAGGCTTAATTGTATTTCTCCACTCAAACTATTTTTTAAAAAATTCACACAATGCTAAAATAGAACATTGTTTTAGAAAAGCTCCTGGTGAACTCAAACCACGTGCGTGGTGATATATAGTTTTATTTCAAAGTTATATGAAATATTTTTGCTATTACAAATAGCAATATGCTGTTTAACAGAAGACAACTGGGATAATACTGAATTTGCAGTTCAGTCACTTAGATGAGCTGCTTTGTTTATAGCTTAATTCTGCAATATACAGAATCTCACTCGGGCCTTTATGGTAAAAACAGTATTTTATCCATAATGTTCAGGTAAACCAAATATTCAGTATTTTTTAAGTAAAGCACTACTGTGTGGTATGGGGTTTTACTGCTGTCTGTAAAGTTACAGGGAACTGCATAGCTTGAAATGCAACAGAAAATGAGTTGCAACAGAGATCAATTCAAGACTAAAGTTTTAGTTATGCCTATTCCATTTTCTAATTCCTATCTTAACTTCCAAAAGGTTAGGCCCTTTTCCTCTATTCTACTTTGACTAAAGGATGATACATATGGACTGGTCTCTTTTTTGCGTGTTATTGGAAGGAAAATGAATATTTATCCCCAAACTTTCCCTCCCTCTCCCTTACGCTGTCTGTTGTCCCGCACTCACCGCAGAGCCAGATACTAAGCAGTACTAGGAAAGCAGGATCATCTCTCGCCCATTGGTCCTTTGTCTGTTTTCTGTAGTGAAAGTTCCTGTAAACCCTCTGTGGTGAAGTGAACAAATAAAGCATCTGCCAAAGCGCAAACTCAAAGTCCATCTGTCGGAAGTGGAAGAGCCTCCGCAGGTACTTGTAGCGTTTCGCTCCGGCCGTGTGCCTTGCAGCATCCCTGGGGCTCAGCGCACCATTGCCCTGGCTCCGAGAACTAACCAAGGTGGTTGGCAGCATCTTGCTAAAGAAAGAATTTCAAAAGATGTGTTTGGTTTTGCATACAGTGACGGCTACAAATAAAATCACGTGATGCGGGCCGTGCCTGCAATGCTGAAGCGACAAAAACTGAGCACAAGTATAAACAATGACAATTGTTGGAGCAAGTCCAGAGGAGGCCACTAAGTGACAGAGGGCTGGAGCATCTCCCCTATGAAGACAGGCTGAGAAAGCTGGGGCTCTTCAGCCTAGAGAAGAGAAGATTGTGTGGAGACCTCAAGGCAACCTTCCAGTATCTGAAGGGGGGAAAACAGAGAAGCTAGAGAGGAACTCTTCATCAGGAACGGTAGCGATAGGACAAGGAGTAATGGGTACAAACTGAAAGAGAGGGAATTTAGGTTATATATTACGAAGAAATTCTTTACTCTGAGGGTGGTGAGGCACTGGAACAGGCTCCAAGGGAGGTTGTGGATGCCCCAACCCTGGCGGCGTTCAAGGCCAGGAGGGATGGAGCTCTGAGCAACCCGGTCTAGTGGAAGGTGTCCCTGCCCATGGCGGGGGGGTTGGCACTAGATGATCTTTAAGGTCCCTTCCAACCCGTAACACCGCACGTTTCCAAGATTTAGGGGCGGCCCGGCCGGCGCTGCTGACGAACACCCGCCCCCCCTCAGCGGGACCCGCGCTCCGCTCCGGGCCGGGAGGCGCCGAACGTCCCTGAGCTCCGCTGTGTGCCGGGGGAGAGGGGGGAGTCACCTGCTGCCCCCCGCGCCGCGACCCGCCCGGCACCGGCAACCGCCGCCACCGCCTCCTCGCAGCCTTCCGGCACGTCCGCCGGCGCAGGCGCCGGGATCCTCCCCGGCACCGCCGGCCTCTGCCCCCGCCGAAGCGGCCGCAGCGCCCGGATGCCGGAGCGCTGGAGGTGTCGCCAGGCGGCGGGAGTGGGAGCGGCGCGTAGGGCTGGGCTCGCCGCCATGCCCAAGTACTACGAGGACAAGGAGGAGGACGAGCGCGCCTGCAGCGGCGTGCGGGAGGACCTGCGGCAGTGCCTGCTGGAGAGCCCCTGCGTGCTGCAGGTGAGCGCTGCCGCCTGCAAGCCGCCCCTGTCCGGCCTGCTCGCTCCTGTGTGCAGCACCTCAGAGAATTACAGCTCCAGGGGAAAGCGCGGGTCATCGTAGCGAGGGGAAATCCCCAGTGAACCTTGTATGAAGTTGGAACGAGGTGACCTGCAAGGTCCCCTTCCAACCCAAACCACTCTATGATTCTAGGAAGTATTTTGGTGTTTCTTTGACGAGCTGCACAAATCAAGGTTTTAATCCTTTATTTTTCATCTACTAGGAAAACAAAAGCCCTAAACAATGCTTGAGGGAAGGACACTGTAGGAGTTTGCAAGTGACATTCTTTGCATGCAAAAGATCAATGGTAAGTGTGGCGTGTCTGGTGACAGTGGCCTGGATGCTTTCTGCCCTTTTCCCACTTTTTTGAAGAGCATTTTAATTCAGTAAAACTGGTGTCATTAAGCAGAACAGCTCCTGCCTTTGAATCCAATTTCAGATATGGATGTTCGTATGTAGAAAAACTGATTGTTCTCATGAAGAAAAAGTAGAGTAAGAAAAAATGGAAAAATGTGTTTATATTGAATTAGGCTTAGAATGTCACAGGTAGTGAGGTAGGTATTTTTACTATTGTTTTTAGTAAAGTTTTGGTTTAAAAAAATTCTAGATCAGGTAATTGTAAGATAAAATATTGACAAGACATTTTTTGTCTGCAAGGTCATCCAAAGAGAATCTGTATAGAGAACACTGAAATGAAATTAAATGAGACTTTCACTGTTGAATCAGGATCTTGCATTGAATTCACATTGAGTCATTAATTTTCTCGGAGTACTTGAGTTCATGATAACTAACAGTTTGGGTTTTTTATATAGCAAACTATCCCATATGATACTGACAAAAATGTAACTAGATAAAATTTCCCATATTTTGATAGGAGTTCTATGTCCAGAAATGTCTTGCCTGTGTTTCCATGATATTTAAAAAATAGTTAAAATATTATAAAGATGGTGTCAAAACATGAGTTGTGCAGGGCTGATTTTTATTTTTAGCTGATGTGGTACATAATGAAAAGTGCACAGCTGAAATGGTACCTAAAATTTTTATTCCATTCGGTAGTAGTCATTCCAGCTTTTTGTACCTCTCCTATATGAACCATATTAATCCATACAGTCACAAATTATTATTTCTGCAGACAGGAAAAATGCTGTGTATTAATGTTTGAAATACCTATATGATGCTGCAGTAGCAACATATACAGGTGATGTGCCTGTATTTTTGTCTGGATTGTTAAGGCAGCCTGATGAAACTTAAATTGCAATCTAAATGTATCCAGTTATGTGGGAAGAAGCCTGGCTCTTAGATGATTCTATTTAATTGTCCCAAATTCTAAGGCTGGTGAGTGATGTTTTTCTTGTCCTGTTAATTCTGAGAATTTCAATAATTGTGCCTTGCCAAATTTTTTACTTGTTACAATAGTGAGGATTAAAGAGTGTCCAAAACCAAGTTAGACACTAGATGCAAATATAATTTAGAATATTCTAAAATGATTAGGGATTTTGCCTAGATACTGTTTTCTTTGTGAGGAAATAGAATGTCTTATCAGTAGAGTAAGCTTCAGTAAACTTTAGACATTTAAGTAGGGACAGGATTTAAAGTGGAAGCTGCTAGGTTATTGGATAAGCTATGTCATCATGTAGTCGAGCTCTTTACAAATTTTACTGCAGTTTTGAATTGTGGAAGAGGGTTAGTTAATGGAGATAAAAGAAACCTCCTCAATCTAATATCTGAATACGACTGAGTTGCAATCTGTCACTGCCATCTTCAAGACTGACTATCTAAATTCAGAAGAATTCTGCCAAGATCAAAGTATATTTTTCTGCTGCACTGAGAAAGAAATTGCAATTTAGCTTCTGTAAGTACTGCAGTGTACCTTTTGTTTTAGCTTTACTGTCATCTTTAGCCTTCCATTAAATCTTTTTTTGTAACTGCCAAGAATAAACCTGTACATTTTAGAAGCTGAATATTATTTCAGTTTTTACTGATTTATTTCTATTTTTTCCACAAACATCTTGTATTTAAGTTATCCCTCTCCTCATGAACATTTGCAGTGACTCCCACTTCAACCAAATCTGAATTTCCCTCCTTCAGATTATCAGTTACATTTGGAAAAACTGATTTAAGCAGACTTACACTACCTTGTTTTTGTGTGTTCTTTGACATCCTACTATGCTGCTCTTGTCATCTGTGTTGTTCCACTGTTTATTTCAGAATGCATAGGACGCTTATCACATAATTTTAATTTTGTGTGAGATTTAAGATCTCTTTCATCATTTAAGTCTCTTTCATCAGAACCGCCCTATGGCTTGTTGGCTATATCACTAGTTTTCTTTACAGTGCCTTCTGCTTTATTCTGGCCTTTGTTCTGATGTTACTAAGTGCCAAGGTAGCACAAGCACTCTAAAATATTTCTTTTGCAAAATACCGGCTTTTAATATATTGACTTCAATTTTCAGTTGGATACCAGGGCAAGATTCAGAGGAAGGAAGGGATACTGAAGTCTTCATCAAGAGACCTAGCCATGGGAATTCAGGGTTCATCAGCACTTTACAAAAAAACAGAGACTAAAGTAAGAAGATTGTACCTGCTATATCCTTTCATGCAGTGTTTTCGTGGAAGGTACCTGCTCCTGAGTATTCTGATAGATTGACCTGGATGTGCATTTAAATGTTAAAAAGAAGATAAGCCTAAAGCTGCAAGTTCTGACCAAAATGGGTACTTGTCATGTACTTGAAATAAAATATGTGAAATCCAGAATAAGCTGCAGAATTTATCATTCTGTTTTGAAGTGAAGTTGTCTTCTGTGACCTTACTGTGAATTCCGGTCATGTTTTGCTATTACGATAATAGAAGGTATGGAACTGGGAGTTCACTTGATGTGTTGAGGAAGAGTTTTCTTAGCAGACTGGTATCCCAGAGGATACCTCAGGATAGAACTGTTTTCAGAGATGAGGAGTTGACCAAAGTTGTAAAATGTGTGTGCAAGTTGCTTCCTCTCCAGTAGGTTTGCTGCCCAGTAAACCTGCACTAATAGATGGGAGTGGTGATGTTTTTCATTCCCACACTGGTAAGAAAGTAGGATTTGTGGGGGTAACAGTGCTTAAACTGTGACAGTGGTCAATATTAACTGGTTCTGATTAAGAACTTTTTTCCCAAAGGAATATTTTTTTTCTTCTTTCAGTATCTCCGTGTCATTCCCTGCCTTTTAGAAGCCTTTAAGAAATAAATAGTAGTGTAACTCTTACAAGTGGCAACTCGAATAACTTCAGACAAGGTGATCAGAAACAAGATTGGGAGACAGTGAGAGAGGAGAGTCATAGTAACTTCTTGGCTGAAGCTTATAGCCAAGTGTCTGATTTACATTTAGTCTGAACAGATGCATGCAGCACTTAACTGTTTGTAAAAGTGATGACTTCAGTGAATGAGTGCATGTTGATTATTTAATTGTCTTAAGCAACTGTTCTGTGATCAAAGACTGTTTATATTCCTTGTATGTGTAGGACTTTATTTTTGCAGTTATAAATCAACATTGATTTCACATTTTCTTGTTCTGTTGATTATATGGGAGCTAGTTCATTTATTCAAGTGCTGTAAACATCCTTTGTTTTCCACCGCCTAGTTACCATATCATCTCTTTACATACACAAAAATTATAAAATGATGTCTATAAGAGTGTTCTTAACTTAGCACTCTCATTTCAAAGTATTACTCACAAGCCTTCTCAAAGGGAGCAAAAATAAATAAAAAGCCACATGGCAGGTATTTAAATGTCAGTTAGAGAGAAGAGTCAGAATAGTATGTGGTTTTGGTAATCATGGACTCTTCCATGATCTGCTCTGCTGCAGCGGCCTGTAGGCTTGATGGTTCAGGTGATCTGTGTTCCTTTCTCGGCCATAATCACCAAGCCTCACCTCATGGTGCTGCAGGAACCACTTTTGGAAAGGAGCAGACAGATAACAGTCATAGAGAGACAGCTAGTTATTTTTAGTAATTGGCTTGAATCCAGTGGAGATCGAGTGTTAAATTCAGTGTTTGCTATTGGACATTTAAGGATTTAATAATTATCAGAATATTTGTATTATTCGATCCACTAGAATGTTACTGTAAAAACTTCCTAGTGGTTCACTAACTACCTAGGACAGTATAAAAATACCTATAATATGTATCAAAATAAAAAAACTTCCTAGTGGTTCCCTAACTACCTAGGACAGTATAAAAATACCTATAATATGTATCAAAATAAAAAAACTTCCTAGTGGTTCACTAACTACCTAGGACAGTATAAAAATACCTATAATATGTATCAAAATAAAAAAACTTCCTAGTGGTTCACTAACTACCTAGGACAGTATAAAAATACCTATAATATGTATCAAAATACTGATTTGCTCAAGAGACTATCACTGTTCAATTCCAGTGTTGGGTAAAATCATATTCTGTTTAAAAATGACTACCTATATAATTGTCTTGGGACTTTGACCACGGTTCTACTTGAGAGATATTAATGTTTTTTGTACGAAAAATAATAATTTGTTTTATTAATGGAAAGCTGTAGGTACTATAGATTTGATTCTAGCTTTTTTCCTAATGCAGTAAATGTTTTTATTTAAATATATTAATATTTTTGTCTCATGCCTTGTGGTACACTACTGGGTTTTACTAAAAAAAGTGCATATTTCTATGCTGTGGTAGATTTTGCAAGATGGAACATGGAATGTGTCTGAATCCGTGAAATTGGATTGCTAAGGTCAAATAGTTGACATGGCTCCAAAAGGCTCATACTGGGTTTAGATTTAGAAATATATGTGGTGCTAATAATTCGTATTGAATAAATACAGGACACAGTTTGCAAAGAACTTTCCCTGCTGCTCTCCTTCCTCCCATTCATTTTACCCAGTGGCAGAGTCAGAGAGTGCTGAATGCTGTCAGGACTGACACTGCAGGCTGCGGCTCCGTCAGTGTTAGGACCTGTCTGTGTCATTACATCTGGTTTCATCAATTAACGTGTTCTCTCTATGGTCTAATCCTGCAAACACATTTGTATTTAAATGGCTGTAAACACATATTGCAGAACTGCAGAAATATGCCATAGTCATTTACTCTGAAAATTCTTTAGGTCATTAACTCTGTTCTTCCAAGTTAGTATGAAGTGATAAGCATATGAGTCTGTGTGTTTATATTGCTTATTAAAGACCTTCATTATTCACTGGGTGGAATAAGAAATTGGTTGTGTATTCTCTCTTCACTTTTAAGTTTCTGGAGAGTAGCAGGTTGGGTGAGATGCTTTTTTTCAAAGCAGACTTTTAAAATAATACTATTTTTTTCAGTGGAAGCCTGGAACAAACTAAATTGACACCTTCTGCTCATAAGAAGAACATTAAATTGAAATCATCTAAAAATGCAGCCATAGAATGTAGGTGGTAAGCAGTATCTCTTGTTTAAGCCTGTGGTTGGAAAACTTAGAAATACAGAACCATAGCAGCTTTGTTGACATGATGTATTTCACAAGTACTCATGCTGCCCCAGCACTTGATACGTGGTCATTGCAGAGGGACCTGGACAGGCTGGAGAGTTGGGCTGATTCCAATGGGATGAGGTTCAACAAGACCAAGTGCCGGGTCCTGCACTTTGGCCACAGCAACCCCCTGCAGCACTGCAGGCTGGGGACAGAATGGCTGGAGAGTGGCCAGGCAGAAAGGGACCTGGGAGTTTGGATTGACAGGAAGCTGAATGTGAGCCAGAAGTGTGCCCAGGTGGCCAAGAAGGCCAATGGCATCCTGATCTGGATCAGGAACAGTGTGGCCAACAGGTCCAGGGAAGTGATTCTTCCCCTGTACTCAGCGCTGGTGAGGCCTCACCTGGAGTGCTGTGTTCAGTTCTGGGCCCCTCAGTTCAGGAAGGATACTGAGGTGCTGGAGCGGGTCCAGAGAAGAGCAACAAGGCTGGTGAAGGGACTCAAGCACAAGTCCTATGAGGAGAGGCTGAGGAAGCTGGGGTTGTTCAGCCTGGAGAAGAGGAGGCTCAGGGGAGACCTCATCACTCTCTACAACTCCCTGAAAGGAGGTTGTAGCCAGGTGGGGGTTGGTCTCTTCTCCCAGGCAACTATCAGTAAGACAAGAGGGCATGGTCTTAAGCTCTGCCAGAGGAGGTTTAGGTTAGATATTAGAAAGAAATTCTTTACAGAGAGGGTAATCAGCCAGTGGAATGGGCTGCCCAGGGAAGTGGTGGATTCTCCGTCCCTGGAGGTTTTTAAGATGAGACTGGATGTGGCACTTAGTGCCGTGGTCTAGTAACCACAGTGGTGTTGGATCAGGGGTTGGACTTGATAATCTCAGAGGTCCCTTCCAACCTGGCTGATTCCATGATTCTATGATTTGGAATATTTGTCTTTATTCTAAATATGTGTCTTGTTGTCTACAGCTGAAGAGCACAACAGTTTAATTCCAGTCTTAAACTGTAGTTGATACAATAGTAACCAGAAACCTTAAGATCATTTCTTATTTTTCTTTTCCGAATGTGCATGCTGAATTTTCTGTCTCTGGCATTGTTTTGTTGGAAATATCTTCAGAAAATCATTAACCAGCTATTTCTGTAAGTGGAACACCCCCCAGTGACTTGGTTGACAGTCTGTAGGAAGAAAATTTTGTAAACATAAAGAGCAGCTTCTTGAAGTGGACTAGCTTTATTTTCAGGACTTACAGTAGGTTCATTAATAATGTCCTTAAACATTGAAAGAGGAAGAAACAATAAGGTAAGCATTTTAATAGCTACCTAATTATGTCAGTAGCAGGTGATATATTTCAAGTAGATAAACATTGAAATTATATTTTTGTGTCGAGCTGAGGTTTGTTTGCCCTGGTGGAAGCTTTCATGTGCCACCTTCTTTCTTGGCCTTTAGGTTCTAATGGGCTGCAGTGAAATGGAAGGGAATAATTCCACTAAAGATTTTTAGTAACGGAGGAAATGATACTTGTGAATCTCTGTGACTTAAAACAAGCTATCCCAAATTTGCAATATTACTACTAGTACTTTAAAAGGAGCTATGGAAAAATAGCAAATATAGAAATTGGCTTGTAATTCATAAATTCTAATGATAAACTGTGCTGCTGTAAAATTGTGCTGCCCTTCATTATCATGAAGAATATAAACTTCTTAGTCATCTTATGACAGAAATTCTTTATATTTTTTTGCTGGTGGAACAGAGAGGTCTAATATTTGTTAGCTATTGCTTGTCGTAGGCTTTTGATTCTGTCTCAGCCATACCTCTTTAATGGGCATAGCAGAATAGTTTCTGGAAATCTGTGTGGGAAGAAATCTTTTACAAGTTGCAGATCATTGACAAACTAAGGAAGATGAGGGTGAATAGTGTGCTGAGGGTGAATTGATGTGTAAAATTGTGCATTGTTCAATATAAAGGCAGAAATTACATAAAGCACTTTATCAGCTGAGACTGATTCAGATTCCTTCCTGCTTTATGTTAGTGGTTAGAGTTTGACACCTTTCATCTAATCTGACCTTTTGTGAAGGTTTTTATGCCAGAGAAAGGCATTGGCTCTTGAAAAGGGCATCAAATCTAATTATGTTTTCTTTCTATACTATATTTCAATAGCTAGTAATCCCTGTGTTGAAGTACATGTCTGTCTTGTGACTAGAATTTGACTTCAGGTTTCACTTAGGGGAAAAGAAGAGGGGATGGCTCTACAAAAGAGGTCAGTATCTTATATTTTCCTGCTGGAAAGCATTTGAATGCTTTTAATATTTCTCAGTGAAAT